AAACCTGAAAAATAATCAAATATTTTCTTTAAAAATAACAGGCGGAACCGGTAAAAATCAGTAGAAATCACAGATGAACTTATGTCATCTACAATTTTATGAATTTTCGTTTTTATAGTACTTTTTTATATGGGCCAGATCACAGCCACCTAGGACCAAATCATAGCCAATAGGGTGATACCGTAGCCCATTAAAGTAATTACAATTTCGAGGGGCCAACTACGATTTAGATGGCTATTGGAGGTACTTATTTGAACTTTTGGCTATTTTAGAAAATATGAATGTATATAATTATGTTATTTTTTGTCGTTTTCTCTTTATTAAAAGACTAAAGATTAGAAATGTGCATAAGAAATTATACAAAAGAAAATAAATAGGTTAAGTGATGAGTTAAAATAATCGAGGGGTTTTCTAATATGTGCCTAAAAACACAGATAAGAAGTATTAATTATGAAAAATATTACCATAATTAAATTCGAAATACATTTATTATGGAAATTATTAATACACTTCACATTTAATTATGGTAATATTTCTTATTATTAATGTATTTTATAATTAATTTTGGTAATATATATCATCAACTAATGCTTCTTATATGTGCCCTTAGGGCACATATTAGAAAACACCAATAATATAAATCGAAATCATAAAATTTTAAGGTGAACTAAAATTGGATTATGTCACTCATCTACGAAGTTTGTTGTCCAGTTTAGATAAGTTTCAAATGTATAACTAGATATTTGGTTCTTATTATAAAGGGGGTAAGATAATAAGTTACAATTAATTTAAAATGTATGTTTATGATGTTTTCTTTGAAAGTGATTTTCAAATGTTTACGATTTATACTTCATTTTTTCAATTGTGAAATCGTGATCGGAATATGTAACATCTAGTGAGATGGGCCGGGCTTATATTTAAAGGAAATGACAAAATTTAGGTACCAATGTCTTGTTGGCCCAATATATTTAACTAGTAATGATTCCAATCAATTAATTTACATGGATACATGATTTTATATTTTGGTAGAAGTAAAACGAAATATGACTTTTTCTCTTTCGATGTAATCGTCTCATATGACAAAACATTAAAAAAGCAACATCATAAAAAAGAAAAGAATTAAAGAAAAGCACGAATGTAAGATCAAAATTCGTTGTATGTTAGGTTATACAATGCACAAAGATGAGCATATATTGATTTTCAGATTTATAGAGCATTCAAATCATCTTGCCCAAAAAATATAAGAGCCATTGGAGACTAATACATGAAATTACATGTAGATTATTGTGATAGTTATGTTTTTTGGGGTTATATGTTACTTTATAAACTTGTACAAGAGAAGATATTCAAGGTTAGGGGCGGACGCAGGATTCCATAGTAGGGGTTGCACGGTAGTAGAAAAAATAAAATTTTTTAAAAATTTCGAAATTTTTTCCACTACGGCCGGAAAATTTAGGGGTTGCCGGTGCTGCCCCGGAACCCCCTAAATCCACCACTATCAAGTTCCCAAAATATTATGTAGTGACAGAACGTAACATTTTAAAGTATACTAAATGAAAAGTTAATAACTCAATATGTTTCCCCACTATCTAGAGATGCTTGAATTGCTAAATTTGGAATGGTAATATAAAGAGCTAGTATCATAAAAAAAAATCCTATATTTGGATTTTTATTCGGATTAAAATCAAGTTTTATATATATATATATATATATATATATATATATATATATATATATATATATATATATATATATATATATATATATATATATATATATTTCCTGATTTGGCCATAGAAACAGATTTATCTGTAATTTTCTGATTTAGACAAATTTTTTTTTCAGAAAAATCCTCAACTTTTTTTTTTTCCGAAAATACCTCAACTTATTTTTCCAAAAAAACCTCAAACTTTTTTTTGAAAAAAAACCATCAACTCGTTTTTCCGAAATTTTTTGTTAATTGGGAGAGTTTATTATTATTATTATTATTATTATTATTATTATATTTTCCGGGAAAAAAGTACAAATATGAGGCAGTGATATTGCTTTGATAAAAAATAAGTTAAGGTATTTTCGGAAAAGAAAATGATGAAATACATATGATGCTTGCAATTTGTTTGAATTTTTTTATGAGGTTGTGATATTGTTTTGATAAAAAAAATTAAATACGAATGAATAAATATAACTTTAGAAAAATATATTTATAAATATGTTTCTACTTTCATATACCGGAGACATTTGGGAAGAAGGAAAAATATTAGATAGTTGGGAACACAAGAAGACTACAAGTATTTCTAAAGCTACTTATTTATCATATATAGAATACAAGATTTTTATATACCCTGTGAAACTAGTGCTATATCTATTCATACTTACACCAAAACCGTAAGACGGGAAATAGAATGATGGATCCGAAACCTGAAGTTTATGGTTTCTCAAGTTTAGAAAGCATATGGTTCGGTTTTTGGTGGATTGGATTTTTTTGCAGTTTTTACTATGTGATTAGGTTTTTGAAATTAGAAACCAAAATCATTATAATCTATTACTTTAGTTTTGTGTCGTTTTTTTGAGTCATAAAATTGAGTTGTGTTTCATACGTGTAGACGTGTAGTTGACAATAATACCCAACTAATGCAAAATGACAATAATAGATTTAACGGGAGGTTATCTGTGTTTACGAATTAGCTTGAAGGGACCCTACGATGCAAAAACCGAGACAGAGACTGTCAATGAATCATCAAGATTCAAGACTATATCTGCAACGTTTTTAAGCCGACAGTGACCATTTTTTTTTTTTTTTTTTTTAAAACTTATTCTTTGTTTAGATCATACTAAATAATCAGTTACAATTATTTTGTATTTTGTTTGTAATTTATTCTTAGTTCCCTCCCTCTCCCTTCCCTAGTACTGTGTATATCAGCTCGATGAAGGCTTTGTGAATAGGATATCTGTGTTTAAGAATTAGCTTGAAGAATTTAGAGATGAAACTCAAAACTATATACAGTTATACAAATAATTAAACTGAAGAAATATTGTTTCAGAGATTTGATGAATTATTTCTTTAGGTTCTTGTCCAACATGTTGGATGTCCCTCAAAACCCACTCGACAAGGTTAAAGCGTACCCCGCCGGTTACAAATTAAGACTAGACAAAAAGATCTATCAATAGTCTTCGCTTCTCACTTTGTGTATGAATCCCTTCTATAATGATTACGTGAGAAGAATGAACTTCAACTTTCCTGAAACCAATTTGCAAATTGGATTTAAATTCATGAGTAAATTACACAAATGGTCCCTATGGTTTATGGTAATTTGCATGTTTGATCCCTAACTTATTTTTTTAACTCGGAAGATCCTTAATGTTTGTTTTTGTTATGTGCTTGATCTCTATCTTACCTAAAAAAACTATTTTGCCACTGATTTTTTAATTTATTTAAATAAATACACCTCCAATCCCACCTCCCTTACCCACCCCAACATTTTTCCCTATTTAAATAATAGTCTTTTTAGGTAAGACAGTAGAGACTTTCCGAATTAAAAAAATAAGTTAGGAACCAAACATACAAATTATCCTAAACCATAGGGATCATTTGTGTAATTTAGTCTAAAATCATATATGAGAGCTTCAATAGGCCAAAATTAAACATAATGAAAGCCAAAAGAGTATTTTTTGTATAACGATCACATAAACCTTTTGGATCAGAATCAAAGAAAACTGCATCCAACAAATGAAATAGGAAGTGATTTCAGTTTTTATTTTATTTTATTTTTTGTTATATACAACAATTTATGTATTATATAATTGTACAATACAACATTTTAAAATACTAATAATTGTGTATGGAGAAAAATCATTGTATACAAATCATCTCCCAAATAAAATGCATTAGAAAAAAACCGACTTCAGTTTCAGATATCAAAGAGTTAATAGTACTCCTTGAACATATTAAAATATTTGCTTAGATGAGATCATAAAAGAAGCTTCCTCAATGATGTTCTTGCTCATTAATCAAGTCAAATTGTCTTACACCGTCACACATATTCAAGCCCTGGCCCTGTAAAAGTTTGAGGGCCTAAATATTAATCTGTTGTACACATTCCTATGTATTGATAAAAGATGATTATATTATTTATATATATTTATCATTTATAAAAATAAACGAATAAAGTATAGTACATCTTGCTAACGTGGTGAACCAAAATAAAAGTTACTCGAATCCCAGAATAAGTTAGCTTTATTTTTTTCCACCTGGAGTAACTTTTTAAAAGCTACCGTATGTATTTTGCTGTTTATTTTTATATAAACATAGTTATAATATAACATTAATCTATTGCAGTTGTACTTAATTTAGTTTTGCAAGTCATTTATATGTAAAATTTTTAGAATACAGTAGTAATACTGTAATAATGTATTGTACTCTCATGCAGTCTCATCGATTATAATAGTAGGGTCCAATCTAGGATACTTGCGATCAAGTCTCAGAAATAAGCTTTTTTAAAATCAAATTCACCTAGAAGATTAATTTTCTTACTATTTGCATATGAAATTTGATAACTTGAGGATACCTCTTTTTTGGTAGTTGCCCCTTATCCTTAACGATGTTTAGACTTTGGAGTAACAGTGCATGTTTAACGCATTAACTAATTATTGTCCCTCCCCCAAAACACTTGTATTTGGTTCCCATTTATTATTGGATCACAAATGGATAGATTACAATAATTTGACTACTACATGACACAACCAACACATATAAATGTTGTCCAACATAGTCAACCATTTAAAAAAAAAATCTCATACTTCAATTTGCAGACTATGGAAAATCCTCAAGGCACACTACATGTTATCTACAAACATTTAAATCCCATCCAACCAACTTGCCATCAATTTCTTCCATTGCATAATTCTTTGTTTATTGCGTTGACAACAATAATTGGTTTGAAGTGTGACGATCTTTTTAAGCCACCAAACTTTTCAATAAGTCAGAAGCATGTCATTATAAAATGACTTGTTTTAACTTGTTACCATTAGAGTTGTTCAAGTGTCGTTCATTAAAAGTGTTACTCCTTCGTCAGAACCTATTTGATGGCGAGGTTAATCAAGGATTGAATTCTTCGTTATTTATCCAACTCATCAACCTCAATTTCCTTGACCTTCAATCGAATAGTTTCAAAGGTGTATGGAATTTCGAGACTTTGTTATCAAGCCTACCAAACCTTACAGGACTCGATCTCTCCTATAGTGGCTTAACTGTTCTCAGCGACAATTCTACTGCCTATGTCAACCCTAATTTTTGGTTCTTAAATTTGGCATCTTGCAACCTAAATGCGTTTCCAAAGTCCTTACGAGCTATGAAAAATCTTCAATATTTATTATTATATGGCAACAACATACAGGGTCGCATCCCCGATTTGGCTGGAGAGATAGGAGGAAATCGGTTGATTGCTGCGGATCTCTCAAATAACTCCATAACAGGCTTGCCACAGTTTCAATGGGATGGAATAACTCAACTATCTTTCCAGTCCAACATGATTCAAGGACCATTCCCTCCATCGATTTGCAACATGAGCAATCTACAATATCTCGATCTATCCAATAATAGTTTTAATGGAGTGATTCCACAATGCATTGGAAACATCAGTTCTCTTGGGATGCTACATTTAGGGGCCAATCTTTTTAATGGCACCATTCCAAATGCATGCACAGATTATGGACAGTTGACGTGGTTCATTTTGAATAAAAATCAATTTGAAGGAGAGGTTCCCACTTCTTTGTCCAAATGTAGAAATCTGCAAATACTTGATTTGGGAAACAACCATTTGTATGGCACATTCCCTAGCTGGTTATCAGATCTTCCAGGGCTGCAGGTTCTTGTTCTCAAATCAAACAATTTTCATGGTTCGATTCAAACATCTTCAACAATTAAACTCCCATTTCCACTTCTGTGAATTCTCGACTTATCTCATAACCAGTTTGCAGGACATCTCCCAACGACTTGAAGTTACTGATGGTGATGGAGATGAAGATGAAGATGAGAGTGGGTTTACATGGAAAGTGGTGATGTTGGGATATGGATGTGGCGCCCTACCTGGATTGGTGATAGCATATGTCATGTTGCCAACTGGTAAACCAAAGTGGTTAAATGCAATATTCGATGCAACAGAGCATATGATTCAGACAAGAAAAAACAAAAGAAAAAGAAGATACATGTTTATCGGGAAATGAAACTAATACGTGTTACACATGTTTTCCTATCTAAATCTGAACATTTAGGGTGCATTTAGTTAAGAAAAAAAATAAACCGTTTCCGGAAAAAATTCCAAGAAAAACCGATAATTTTGAAAATACATTTAGTTCAACATTTTTTCTAAAATTTTTACAAAATTACAAAGAACTTAGAATATTTTGGAAAAACCGATAATCATTAGTTTTCATATTTTTTTCATTCCAATTTTTTTAGAATATAAGCACATATCCACCCCCATCCCATCCACTTCTACCAACCCCCACCCACCCTACCCCACCCTGCCTACCTCCACACTACCACCACTACCGTTTTCTAAAAATGAAAAAACTTGTTCTAAATCTTTCAATGAAAACTAAAAAAAGAAAATAAAAAATATTTTTCTGTAACTAAACGCAACCTTACTATTTTTGTTTTCCTTATCAATATTATAGATGCAGGTAGAGAAGATTACGTAAGGGCTTGATGTTTATTGTAAATTTAGGCGTTGGTCATGAAGATTCTTAGTTATACTTGGATTATTTATTTGTACATATATTACTTAAATTACTTGGTAGGTGGGAGTTTACCAACTTCATTGGAAGAAGTATTATTATCATAGGTTTGTTTATCATTACACTAATTTTACAAAATTAGACACAAAAATTAAATTAATGACTTATTTGATTGAATGATTTGTACTACCCAAGTCATTGGTGTAGAAGTAGAAATAGACCACAAGACAAACAATGAGTGGTGGAGACTTAAAGAGGTCACAGGATAAAGCCTATTAAAAAAAACAATAGTAAACTCAACACACTGTCTACAATATATACTTAGAAGACCCTTAAGTCATTCCAAAAGCCTTGCCATAATCAGTTAAATCCTAATCAACTTAACTGTTACAAATTTCTTCCTTTGTCACAATCTTTGCTCAATGCAACAACAATACATGGATAATGTTGATTCAAAATGTAATACAAATAAACTATTACAAGAAAACTTCTGAAAACAAAATATTGCAATTCAGATACACAAAAATATTAAAGTTACAATATAGCAAGTGTGAATCTGTATAGTAAATTAAAGAGAACGAGTTTAACAAAATTACTTAATCCCTATGGAACAATAGGATTGACCTGTTGTAAATCAAACTAATAGACATGCAATGAAACCGACAAATAATATTGAGAATTATATGTGGATTAGTTGCGATTAATAGATCCAATTATAATTAATATGTTTACCGAGTTTTGTCAAGAAATTAGATTAATCCTTTTACGTTAGATCTGATTATAAGAAAGATAGGAGAGTGTCCTGTTGTTAGACGAAATTAAAAGCAATACAATAATGTAAAACTGACCTATTGACGGTTGATCTTGAATTTTGAATAACTATATGGATTGGACTCCTATCCTTAAAGGAGCATCTCGAGACATTATGGCTTCAATAAAGGTCCTAGGATCATCATCCAAGTTAACGGCAAAGATGACCTCTCTCGTCAATTTCTTTTGCGTTCCTTCAACCAAATAAAAATAAAAATCATCTCCAAAACATTTTTCTATTCTAGCCCTAGTACTTCTCCTTGGTTCCTCCATAATAGGAGGAGGTGGGATTATTTCTCGAGACATACTTGTAGGTGTTGTATGACTGGAGTCTTCTTCATCCTTAGAAAACTTGTCCTCAAAGAATTACACATCTTTGGATTCCACAAAAACACTTGATTCAATATATAATAACTGTTAAGCCTCGCTATTGTGAGCATATCCAATAAATATACTCTTATTATCTTGTGCTCCCAATTTGGTTCGTTTAGGATTGGGAGTCTGATAATAAGCAACACACCCTACACTTTCAAATAGTCTAGGTTAGGCTTTCTACCTTTCTACAACTCATAAGGGCTTGTAGGAATCACACGACTAACGATCTTATTATGAACATAATAAACAATCAATACTGCTCCCCCTCCTACAAATTGTTCGGTTGACTTGATTGGTTCAACATATAGTTGACCATCTCACAAAGGGTTCAGTTCTTTCTTTCAGCCAAACCATTATGTTGGGGAGTATATGGTGAAGTTCTATCATGTTTGATTCCATTTTCTTTACAGAATGTGTCAAAGTCTTGGTCGAAATATTCTCTGCCTCTGTCCGAGCGAAGAATTTTGATGTGTCTATCAAGTTGATTTTCGACTTCAGTCTTATACCGTTTCAACAGTTTCATCTTTTGATCTCAGCAAACATGTAGATATCGACTAGAGTCATCACAAAATGTGATGAAATACCATTTTCCTCCTCGAGTAATTATTCCATTTAATTCACATATATCAGAATGAATCAACTCAAGTAATGATGTATTTCTCTTAACTGATGGAAATGGTTTCTTAGTAAATCTTAACTGATGCGGTCGGATGCCGGGGTGAGCCCGATGCTGAACAAGAGTCCGATGTCGGGTAAGCCGATGCCAGGATGTTTATACTCTGATATATTTGACAGATGTTATGTTATTCTTGAGATACACGATTTATGATTTTTATATGTTGAAAGATAATTATGGTTTTATCAATGAGTTAAAAATGAAAGTTTGGGCCTATATTTTTGGGATGTTTCAATTTCCATTGAGGGTGAGGCCACCGAGCTTCGTTGTTGCTGTAACGTTGCTGTTGAAGGCCAAGGCTACCATGACACGTCATGGTAGTGGATGATCGGAAGAAGCCATCTACGGGTGTTGTTGCTGCCGTTCCCGGTGGGAATCACCCAACACTTCTTCTTCTGTTCAATCGTCGTTCGTCGGCGCTACCTCAGCCTGCTGCTGTTAGCGTCGACTGTTAGAGTCGATGTTGCTGTCGTCCGCTGCATGCCACTAGGTGGGTGGTTGTGATCGTTTTGTTTTTAGCTTATGTTGACATGGGTTGCTGCTACGATCGAACGATGTATGTGCGAGTGTTGCTGGCCGGAAATCGAGGAAAGAACTACCATAGCCGCAACCATTAGGGATGAGCATGGGACGGAACTGGTATCGACCCGTACCATTCCTGATTTCCCGAAAACCGAATTTTATCAAAAATCAATCCCGAGTACCGAACCGAATTAACATCACCGGTACCAGTACCGGGAATGGTACCGGTTTTCAGTATTAGTACCAGTACCGATGGTACCGAATCCCGAATTTCATGTATTTGAGTACCGAGTACCGTCCCATATTTTCAAATTCGATACGTATCGGTATCAGTTCCGGTACGGTACTGGTATAGGATCGGGATTTAGGACAAACTGCTCATCCCTAGCAGCCATGGTGCCCGCCGCCTGCGGCCATCTTTCGTCGCTACCAGCCACTATGGAAGGTGGCTGTGTGCGTGTTATACTGTGTATCTAGGTGTGTGTTGGTGTATAATATTGTATGTACATTGTATTGCGGGACTATTCAAGGAAAACAACCTGTCACCTCTGTGAGGTGGTGGTTGCCACCTCACGCCGCCATTCTGCCACCACCAGCCGATACCATGGGTGGCTATGTGCTTTTGTGTGTGTGATTGTTATTTTGGGATGCTTGGACATTTTTAGCCAAAAATCATAACCACCACCATGAGGTGGTGGCCGCCACCATGAGCCGCCATTGACCACCACTACCCGAGGTGGTAGTGGGTGGTGCCCGACCTATTTAACCCTAATTGACCTAAAAACCTAACTATTTGACTAATTGGCTCACGATTGGGTTGGAAACCCTAATTAGGGTTTAGAAAACCCAAATTTTGGAGATGTTTATTTTGGATTAGTCGGGACCGCGTTTGGACCGTTGGATTTGGAATTTTGAATTACACTCGGCCACATTGTATGTTTGGACTAGTGGAGTGGTGGGCTTAATGGATTAAGTCCTTAATGGGTTAAGTAGAAACACTTAACCCTAATTGTCATTTTATGTGAAAAACCCTAATTGGGTTTGGGTTTGGGTTCTTGTTGGGCCATTTCTTGGACTGGGTTGCGGTGGGCCTTCATGCGCCAAATTGGAACAAGTTTATGGACTAAGGAAAATATTGGGCTTTAGGATAAGGCCCATTAGAAGGGCTTGGGCCCTATTTGGAAATTAGCTATAGGTGCGCCATAATTGGGCCTTGATGATTATGAGATAGTAGGCCATCAGAATGCCAAGTATTTGGACTAAAATAAATGGTTGGGCCTTAAAATAAGTCTTTGTAGATGTTTGGGCCCAATTTGAAAATTTGGGACATATGTTGGGCCTTGATTCATTGATTGGTTTTTGGGCATTCAGAGTGTGAGTTTGGACCTTAGTTTTGGACCAAGTTAGGTTAATGGTAAAATAGTCCATTTACCCCAAGCATAGACTTATGGTTATGTATTGAAACCCAATTATTAATTGGGTGTTGTTTTGATGTTGAAAGTTTGACAATCTGTCAACCAACAGCTAGAGTTTATCCGCGGTACTTCAGAGAGTGTGGGGTGAGTTTCTTCACCATTCCAACGGGTCGAAGGCACCAAGGCCGACCCAATATGTGTTTTGTGCTATGCTAGCTTTTATGTAATACGTGATATGCTAGTTGTTTATGAGATATGTGATATTATAGCAGTCGTTATAGTACTCATATGGAAGACCCCTAGGGGTTCTCAAGGCAGTTAGGTGTAAGAACTTGGAGGGTTTCCATGGCACCCTTATATGATTTCATGTATGACCTATATGGCTTGTTTGACATATCCTTTTAGTTATGTGACATGCTAGTTGTCTTCGTGGTATGTGATATGCTAGTTGTCTTTGTGATACTTGCATAGAAGACCTCGGGGGGGGGGGGGGGGTTCCCGGGGCACTTAGGTGTAAGACCTTGGAGGGTTTCCACGGCATCCTAGGTAAAGACCTCGGGTGGTTCCCGAGGCACTTAGGTGTAAGACCTTAGAGGGTTTCCAAGGCATCCTAAATAAAGACCTCAGGGGGTTCCCGAGGCACATAGGGTTTAAGACCTTGGAGGGTTTCCATGGCATCCTTAGTTAAG